ACCAGTTTTTTAAAAAGCAGTTTTTGCACTTTCTTGTTTTGCACAGGAAAATGTGACAAATGACTATTTACTTACACCCCTAAGAATGAAGAAAAAACACTGCAACTTCAGCTTTCCTCACTCCAGGCCTTACCTTCTGCTGTTCTGTGAACCTAGGCAGGTAAAGCTAGACCCATCACCGATTCCAATATCTCACTCACAAAAGTCCTGAACATACAGACCTCATATTTAAAATGGAACACACCTGTTCCAGATCACATCTTGGGCAGCAGTTTTTATTTTATTTTATTCACCCAACTGGCATTCAGCAACAGATTTTGTCAGCTGAGGGTCTATCATCAAGGCTATCCAGTTTCATTAGATGTGCCATCATTCTGTTATAGATTCTCACAATATTCTTTACAAAATTATTAAATCTGCCACCTTCAGGAGGAAGAAATGAAAGATTTACAGACTCTGGCTATGCAACATTGCTCTTCTTTTTCCTCAGTGAAACCTCCTCATAATTTCATTTTTTTCCCTGACCAGTGCATATGGAAAAGAAACCTACAGCTAAACCAATTTTTCTTTTTAGTATTTTTGGGCCTCACCTACAGTCCAGGAATGCTATTATATCATCTATATCTGTATCTATATCCATATCCATATATTTCAGTGCTATACTTTTTATTTTTTAAAAAAGCCTGCATATCTCTTCTTTACACTCTTTTAATGAAATGTTCTTCATTTCCTAATTGCCCACATTCCATTTATTTTTAATACAAAAGATTCCCTGTTAAAAGGCATTTGGTAACTTGTAGAATCATCATTTATTTCATTTCCTTTCTCATTTATTGATGAAGCTTCTGTCTCTTTTTTCCTGGCATATTAAATGCTTCCTTAATCCTTTTGATTCATTTTGCCCATATGTTCACTCTCCCTATTCCTTTCTGAACATCTTTGGGCATGCCTTTATAAAGGCTCTACTCAGTAAGAAAAGGCCACATCACTGAGGCCCAAGGTCTTTAATTTCTCAGATGAGGAATGATAGAGCTTCAGCTCAGTGGGAAGCTACACCCTTTCCCACTAGCCCTTTCATTCTTCTAAGCTTGGACATGGTTTGTGGTTTCTCATTGCTACCACAAAGAATCTCAAATCACCATTCAAAAAGGCAAAATAAGTCAGAGAGAGACGGAGGGATGAAAGATTTTAATTTGCTGTTTTTTGCCTGACTATTTTGGATGTGTGTTTTCAAGCAACATATAATATGTAACTCAGGCATTTTAAAAGATATGGCTGTAGCTATTCTAATTACTCTTTGGAAAACGCTGGCAAGAGGCTGTGGAAATGATAGTGAAACAATCTCTAAATTTCTTGGTCTTCTGATCTGGCGTCTCTTCAGTGGGAGGACGGTGGCCTAAAAATGAAATTAAATAAATAAATAAATAAATAAATAAATAAATAAATAAATAAATAAACTATGCTGTGTCAACAAGACATGATGCCTTGATGTGGAATCACAGGATTTTATTTTTTATTTTTTGCCTTCACTGAAGAGCATGACAAAATGGTCTCTCTAAACTGTGCAAAATTTCTCTGGTTGTCCTTTCCCTTTGAGAAGCAAAGTGCAGTTACAAAGCAAGCACATACATGCTGGCCACGTATTAAGAAACATGCAAACAACCATCAAGTGCTTCATATTCTTAAAGCTCTAGTCATCATTCTTTGAGATAATAAATGCCTTTGTGTAGTTTTGTGTAAGACATACAATGATGAATGGGGATGGAGTTGGAAGGGCCTACAAGGCCATCAAGACCAGTCCCCTGATCAGTGCAAGAATCCAAATCAAAGTATATCTGACAGATGGTAATCTAATTTTCTCTGGAATGCCTCCAGCACTGGAAAGCTCACCACCTTCCAAGATAACTGATTCCATTCCCACACTGGTGTAACAGTCAAGATGTTTCTATTGATATTCAACTGGAATATGGCTTCCTGTAATTTCAACCCATTAAGTCCTGCACTTTAGGATGACTGAAAACAGATTCTGACCCTCCTATTTCAAATATTTGAAATGCTCTCATATCTCAGCATCAGTTTTCTTTTTTCAAGGCTAAACAAGCCCAGTTGTTTTCATCTTTCTTCATACAGTTTGGTTTCCAGTTCTCAATCATCTTTGTTATCCTCCTTGGAACTTGTTCTGGTTTGTCTGAATCCTTCTGAAATTACGGTGTCCAGAACTGGTTAACAGTATTCCAGATGAAATCTAACCAGTGCTAAATACAGGGGAACTAGTACTTAATGGAATTTGGAGACTATACATTAGTTAATGCGTCCTAAAATAGCATTTGCCTTTCTTGCAGCCACATCATACTGTTGGCCACATCATACAGCTTCATTTTCTGTTTTACAATAATCCCAAGATCCTTCTTACTTGCAATATTACTGAGCAGAGTATAGTCCATATTGTAACTGTGTGTTTGAATTATTTTTTCTAGGTGTAGAACTTTTCATTAATTCCTGCTAAATTTCATTCTGTTTGAAACTATCAAGGTTGTTCTGAATTTTGTTTTCAGTCTTGAGAGCCATACCATCAAGTTTCAGTTATCCCTGTCAAGTCATATTTATCCTCCCAAACTAAGATTTCAAGTTCCTATTTATTTCCCATACTCCTGGGTTCCTATATAGGCACTGGAGATTGTGTGAATTGTAACCTGCTTTCTTTTTAACATTTTTATTAAGACTATTATTAGGCCGCATTAGAGGTTTTTATTCTGTTCCTCTTAATATGTATAAGCCTTCATCTGTCCGTACCTTTGAGTTTGTGTCTTTTTCCTCTTTCCAATTTAGATTAAAGTCCTTCTGATAAAGTTCTTCATGTTGTGGCCAAACACATTCTTCCCAGTCTGTGAGAGTTGCAACCTTTCACTTTCCTGCAGCCCATCTTCCAGGAAGCGAAGGCCGTGGTCGCAGAATCCAAATTCCTCATGCCAGCACCACCTTCATAGCCAGATGTTCATCTGGAATATTTTCCTTTCCCTTTCTGTTCCTTTCTAGAGTATTGAAAGAATCGCCAAGAAGACTATCTGGGCCCCAAAATCCTTGAGCTTTCTTCCCAGATCTTCAAATTCTCATGAGATTTTTTCATTGTTCCTCTTGGCTGTGTCATTTGTACCCACATGGATGAGAAGAAAGGTATATGCATCCATGGGTTTTATGAGTGATGGCAATCCTTCCATCACATCCCTGATCCAAGGAGATAGCACACCTAGTGGATCTATGGATCTTCATGGCATATTTCAGTTTTAATCTCACACGGTAGGGAGTTTCCTTCTCCTGTAACTCTCCTCTTCTTTTTGTCAGGTGTGGATTTAATGATTCAGCATCACCCTGTCTCACCCTGTCTCACCCTCTCTTCTGAAGACCCTGTTTTCCTCTTCATGTTGTCTGCCAGACTCCTCTTCAAGAATTTTGCACTTCCACTGATAAAAATGTCTTTTCCTTTCTTTGCTCCTAAATGTGACCCTTTTCCATGGTGCTTCCTCCACTATATTTATTCTCTCCTCACTATTCTCATCTTCTGCTTTGTCTTGCTGTTCTTACATCTCCAGTGCCTCTCTTAACTGCTGTTGCTTGAGTGTTCTGTCTATGCATTCTTATAGCCTTCAGTACAAAAACTCTGCCAAGAACACCAGCAAAGGGAAGCATGCTGTAGTTCCTCTTTGCACAGTATGAACAATGACCACCACACCCTTTGGAACACATTGCATTTTGTCTGAGTTTTGAAGCAGGGGCAGACCTAGTTTGTACATTGATCAGAAACTTCAGACCATACTGGGGATCTTCAGTAAGAATCATTCCAGAGACCCTGGAGTGTTCCTGCTAATAAGTATTTTCAATACTAAATATCTCATTTGGTATAAGGCAGCTTTCTATGCTCTCATGTTCCTTGCCATCTTCACATGCATGGATAACCCGAGTGAGCATATACATCATTACAGTATACTGTATATTAAACAATGGCCCAAGTAACATATTATGTGCTAATCAAGACTCCATATGTTTTACATATATATGCATTTTTAGTTATGCACATGCATTATGCATTTTTTTTACAAAAATCTGATGCTTGCTGTTTCCTACCAGCAATAGGAAACTACATATATTAATAGACTTGCAAACCACAAATTGGATACATTCATAAGAAAAAAGGGAGGGTTAATTAGAATGTCTTTTCTTCTCTAGCTGGCCATGGAGGGGGCATGGGTCACTATCTGGGCTGTTCTTCACATAGCACAATGACTAGAATCAGTATGCTGATGAGTTATGTGGTTTCAGAAGGGCGAGCACTTAAACATGCCCTTGACTCTGGCAAGTTCCCCTTATCGTAGGCGGTTTCATACTAGTTGTGAGGTTACAACCAGTTTGGGTGATCAGTTACATAATAAAGAGCGAGCTGGAGCAGGGTAGCACTTACACAATTATAATTCCACTCTGAAAGGATATTGGCCTAGCCTTAATAATGTCAGCTATAACTATAACCTGACAGATATCACCTGGACTCCAAGTCATAGCGACACACAGAAGATGAAAGTACATTCATCTCAGAGATGCAGAAGTTGGTAGAATGTTTATTATACATTCTTCTCTCCTTTGCATCATCCCTGCTGCAATACCTATGAGTCACCAAGCATTTTTATTCACCTGTAACCTCTTACCCACAATAATATTCTTTCTAGCCTTGTGTTAACAAGGGAAACTATTCATTTTCTTTTAAAGGTCTATCTATTTATCAGCAATACTTTAATAACCTATGCCAGGAATATCTATGTGGGCACTCCACTCTGATGTTACCTTACCACAAACAATAAAAATCGGGGGTGGTGTTAACATGTTATTTCTTTTGGAGGACAGAACATAGCATTGTTGTAGAGACATTCTATTTCTTTGTGACAGTAGACATTGCAGAATCAACAGGGAGACTGAAAAGTCTAGCCCTATTGGAGTGTGATAGCCTGAATTCATGCAGGGCTCTTAGCATGGTGGAGATTGGAAAGTGTGTATGCCATTCATCCAACATACACAACCCACCAGGAAGTTACTCAGGTCTGATGAGTGCAAGCACCTGAAAAGGCACCTTTAAAATGGGTTCAACTGGCCACAGTTCTGGACTGGGTGAGGAAGAACAGGATGAAGCTGAAGGATGGAGTTCATGTTATTGGGAGGGTCGGTCTACCTGTCTGGGTCTACCTGTCTGGGATTATCTCCCCTAAACTTATAAAGGACCATGTGCACAGTCTGGGCATGATTCCATACCCAGTGTTGACCATGGAGAAACAGGTCTCCACTGTGGTGCATTCTGCCTTTTTCCAACTTCAGCAAATTGTCCAGCTCCATTGCTGCCTAGATGTGAGGTACCTGGCAACATTTGTATACACATTGGCAGTCTCAAACATTGACTACTGTAATGCACTCTACATGGGGCTTCCCTTGAAGCTGGTATGGAAGCTTCAAGAGATCCAGAATGTGGTGGCCAGACTGATTGTTGGGGTGAGGAATTTAAGTCATATCACCCCAACTCTGGTTCACTTGCACTGGTTATCAGTCTGCTTCATTGCCAGGTTCAAGGTTCTGGTTCTAATATATAAAGCCCTAAACAGTTCAGGACCTTGTTACTTGTCTGAACGTCTTCTGCCTAGTTCAGCTGCCCATCTGATTCAGTCCTCACAGACCTCACACCTGGAGGTACTGACAGCTCATGAAGCCCAGAAGGTGTCACCTAGAAAGTGTATTTTCTCAGCAGTGGTACCCCACTTGTTGAGTCCTCTGCCACAGAATTTACAGCAGGCACTCTCCTTCTGCATCTTTAAAAAGCGGCTAAAACGAGTTGTATATGGAAGCTTTTGGAAAGGTTCTCCCCGATTAATTGGGACAATGGAGGAAGGAAGAGAGGACTATTGCACTGTGTGTTCTGAAATTTGTATTTGCCAACATCTTGGTTTGTGTGTTTATTTTTGGGATAGTCAAATGTTTTAGAGCAATTTCATAATTTATGTTTCTTTTCTTTGTAGTACACTGCTCAGGGTAGTGATTTGCTAGATGGGCAGTATGTAAAATGAATAATTAACAAATAAATAAATTCACCTGAAAATCTTTATTGTGCTTGCATGATCAGGAGTTTGGTTGTCAAGGCTGCTGATTTGCAAGTGCTCTAAGCTTAATCAAGTAAATGTTGTGAAAAACCACCCCTTCAGACCTTTATACTGAGCCCAAGAAGGTCTGTATGGCTTCCAGATGGCTGGGGAAAGGTTAAGGTGGGCTATACTTCCATCCTCATGTCTCCACTTTGCTTAAAGTCTTATACAGTTTCAGATTGTAACAACTGGATAGGCCTTCTGTGTTTCACAGTTCTGTGTTACTATAATGCTTCAGTGGCTCTTTCTGCAATCCATTTCACCCATCATGTATGAAAATCAGAACTCTTTCTGATTGCTTAAGCATAGCATTCCCAAGCTCTAAATCTGATGATCTTTAAAAAGATGGGTTACTTACCTGTAACCATGGTTCTTCAAGTGGTCATCTGTGAATTCACACAATCCTGCCCGGCCTCCCCACTATCCGTCACTGATTATATTAAGCTCATGCACAGATACTTGTGGCAGATAAATGGAACTGAGGCTAGGGCGGGCAGACCATGAGCAATGCAGGCAACCTTAAACTTTGTTTCTTTTCTATTCAAGCTCTAGAATATTCCGAGAGGACCAGCGCTGGTGCTGATTTAACCCTTTTTGTGTGCATTCACAGAGACCACGCTGAAGAACCACATGTATTCTGATGTGATCACTCAAAAAATTGTAAAGTATCCAAATTAGCCTTCCTTTTAACCAGCACATTTGTTGAAAATAATTAGATTAGCAAATAAGGCTTAGCTTTTGGCCATCTAGCCTTTGAACTTTATATATTAGCACAAAGTATTAATTATATTTTTATAACATGTATTCATAAAAATACTTTTAAGAAGATTGCAGCCTGAAAGACACTTCGCTGGGAATAAATTTTGTTGAATATAGTGTGACTTCTCCGTAAATATTAATTATGATTAACAGTATTTAATATTTATTTCTTTTTATATGTAGGTCCTAAGCATAAACTTCTCTGCCTTTCAAGTAAGTTTACATCATTCTGCCAATTAGCCACTCTCACTGATTATACCAGGCCTAAACATCTTTGCCCCAGACATACAATACCATCTTAGTCAAGCTTCAACACCGTAGAGAGGTAAGTACTGTGAAATCTTTGAATAAATTCAGTAGAGAGCTACACTTGTCAGAAAGTAACATTGAACAGTCCCTTGTCTGTGCAAATGGAGTATTTATTTATTTATTTATTTATTGTGGCCACTCTAGGTGGCTTACAACACACACTATAAAAACAATTAGGCATATAACATAAGACATAACATAACATAACATAATTTACATAAATAAAAAGAAAAAATTTTTTTCCCCAAAGATGGCAAGAAACAGGGTATATTGTAACGGAATAAGAAAGAAAGAATAATTAGGAGTGAACTGGAAGGGGGGAAGGCCTGCCTAAACATCCATGTTTTCAGCTGTTTTTTGAAAATACCCAGCGAGGGAGCTGTGTGAATCTCAGAAGGTAAGTTGATCCAGAGGCAAGGAGCCACCGCCGAGAAGGCCCGGTTTCTTGTTTTTTCCTTCCGGGCCTCCCTTGGTGTCAGGCTCCTCAACCTCACCTCCTGACTAGTGTGAGTGACATGGGTAGAACTGGGTGGGAGTAAGCGTTCCGCCAAGTATTGAGGCCCTAAACCGTTTATGTCGTTAAATGTAAGCATCAAAACTTTGAAGTCAGCGCGGAACCGAATGGGCAGCCAATGCAACGTGGCCAGAATAGGAGAAATGTGATGGTATCTTCTTGTTCCACTTAGGAGTTTGGCCGCTGCATTCTGCACCACTTGGAGTTTCCGCATCAGCCTCAAAGGTAGCCCCACGTAGAGCGTGTTACAGTGGTCTAATCTTGAGATAACGAATGCATGGACTAAGTTGGTGAGCGCCCCCACATCAAGATAGGGTCGCAGCTGGGTTATCCGCCAAGATGAAAAGAGGCGGTGCGGACCACCGACGCCACCTGGGTCTTCATGGAGAGCGCAGGGTCCAGATGGATCCCCAGACTGTGCACCCCACTCTTTGCGGCAAGGGTCACCCCCCAAATGAGAGGGAGTCACCCAAGCTGCCAACAGTGGGGGCACCCACCCTCAGGACTTCCATCTTGTCTGGGTTCAGCTTCAGCCCATTCTTCTGCATCCATTCCAGTACAGTCCCCAGGCAGCGCTGAAGGGACAGGACAGCATCACCTGCAGTTGGTGAAAAGGAGATGTCGAGCTGGGTGTCATCTGCATACTGATGACACAATGACCCACATCCCCTGATGACCCCACCCAGCGGCCTCATGAAGATATTAAACAGTATTGGGGAGATAATTGACCCCTGTGGAACCCCACAATTGAGACTCCACGGGGCCGAGACACGCTCCCCAAGCTTTACTCTCTGGGGACGGTCCTCCAAGAAGGAACGGAGCCAGGCAAGCGCCAATTCCCGGCTCAGAGAGCCTCCCCAGGAGGATACCATGGTCGACGGTATCAAAGGCTGCCGAGATGTCAAGAAGGACTAACAGAGAAGTTTTTCCCCTATCAGCCTCTCTCAGTAGGTCATCGTACAGGGTGACCAATACCGTCTCTGTACCATGGCATGGCCTGAAGCCCGACTGAAATGGATCCAGGGCGTCCACTTCCTCCAAGAGAGCCTGAAGCTGATCGGCCACCACCCTCTCCACCACTTTGCTCATGAAAGAAACATTAGCGACGGGCTTATAATTGCCAATTTCGTCCGCCGCTAAATTAGGTTTCTTTCTTATGGGCCTAATGAGTGTCTCCTTGAGGGCAAAAGGAAACCTGCCCTCAAGGAAAGACCCATTTATTGTTGCAGCAGCCCATTCTGTTGTTTTCGGCTTGGCTGCTTTGATTAGCCAGGCCGGGCAAGGGTCAAGGGCTCGACAGCAGTCAAGGACCTTGGCCACAGAATCAGATGTGACTGGCTGAAAGGTGTCGAAAGTTACCGGGCAAGACAGAGCGCTGGACATCTCTGCTCGATTCACTGTGTTCAAAAAAGAAGAGAGGTCCCGGCAGATGGCCTCCACTTTAGATTTTAAAAAGGCTGCAAACTGGTCAGGTGAGAAACTAGGGGGAGGCCTATCACCAGGACCAGTTCCGGATAGGTCGCGCACTATACGGAATAACTCCGCCTGCTGGTTGGACGCTTTGCTTATCCAGTTAGTGAAGTAAGTTCGACAAGCAGCCTTTACCTTAGACAGGTAAAGGTTAGTTGTGACCCTGACAGCTATCCTATTATAATCCATTGGGTCCTTTCTCCACCTACGCTCTAGCCTTCTTCTATGTCGCTTCAGAGCTCGGAGCTCCTGGTTAAACCAGGACGCCGGGCGGGTTCTGCGATGGAGAGGGCGTTTAGATGCGATCATGTCTATGGCCCTGGATAATTGGATAGCTGTATTTTTCCCTGAAAGTAAATTAAGCGACACCATTTGATTCCTTATTTCATGATTTTACTGTAGGCATTTGTTTCACAATGGAATGGAAATGCATTATTTTGTGGTAAGATGCAATTCAGTTATTCCAGTATTTTTCTCCTACTAGTAATAATTCAGGTAGCTACTCTTGGGAAATCTTTTGTCTCCCCAGACAATTTATAAAATCTCTGTTGTTAAACTCATCTTTCAAAGTAGGGCTAGTCTTCTTTTACTTTAATTCTTAAAACCTGGTTATTTGGGCAGGCTTTCCCTCCTGCCATGTCTTAATTTCTTACACTTTGTCATCTTGGACCTATAATATGTTTTTGTTTTTATTGTTTTTAAATTTGTAAACTGCCCAGAGTAGACCTTTGGTCTAGATGGGCAGGATAGAAATCCAATAAATAAATAAATAAACAAATTCTTTTCTAGTTATTTTCCTCATACTCTTAGAAAGTAACATATGTTTTGGGGGTTCTGCACAAGGAATTTACAGCATGTGGCTTCATACATCCAGGGTGCCCAAATGTTTCCCTTCAGAGTCCCTCAGGTCCCTAATCCAAACCCAGAAAATGGTTTTTCCTTCAAATTGGCTCAAAATTCCCTTTGTGCTCTCTAGGGGTTAGGAAGGACAATATTTCCATATTTTGAGTGCCCACGGCATCTCTGGGGTCCAATATACAAACACCAAAATCTTTTGAATATTTAAAATATGTACATAGGGTACAGAACGGTTTGTTCTGTCATGAAAAGGCATTCTTGTAAAAAAAAATGATGATGGATTTGTTAGAGAGGGTGTGGCCCTCTAAGTTACAGGAATGGTATGTGTGATCTCCAGACATCTTGAGGTTGCGTATCCCAAATTATAGCATTTTAATCAATTGTGCACCATATTTAGATCAATAAGTAATAATAACAACTTATGGTGACCCTTCCAGGGTTTTCTAGGTATGAAGTATTTAAGCCAGCCAGAGTAGATTCATTGAATCTAGACGGGCGGGGTAAAAGCCAGAAAAATAAATAAATAAAATTAGAAAGTGATTTACCAGACTCTCCTTCTGGTACCACTCTGGGACTGTGCAGCTCATCTAAGTCTACAGAAGTGGCAGGACATATAATCCCCTCAGCCACATATTTCCAGATTATTTTGGCTGAGCCCTTTTCCAGAAAGCACCATAGGATGCTTCAAAATTTCAAACCCTGTCTCTGGAGCCACGTATTCCAACTTACTAAGCTAGCTAATGAAGAATTGCTTCAACTCTGTAGTCTTCTAAAATCATCACAGATAACTGCTTGCTAGGGGTTCAGAACCATGGTGAGTGGCAATACACTGGAGTATTTTTTGTTAGCAGTTCTATATAAATAGAAACCGCAAGAGGTTAGGTTGTCTTTCTTTTATCCTGTGTTCTGCCATAAGTGAAAATATTTCTTTTGCAATGAGCTTTGGCTCTATAGTTGCTTGATTTTATCCACTGGCTGTTTGGTTTGCGGGCTTTTGGGTTGTATTTTAATGATTGGTATTTGTTTTTAATGCCTTATGTTTTGTTAACCACTTCGAGAGACTCTTTTTTTATAAGCAGGGATAAACATACATTAAATTTATTGATTAAATACTTTAAAGTTATGCTATTTACAGATAAATATTCTCAGGTAACAGCTAGTCAGTGTTCCCTTTATTAGATAAATAGTGTTTGTCTACAATGACTTCATCTCCTTTACACACTTTAAGCTCATATTGGTGCAGCTCTCTGCAAAACAGGATATTGCTTTGTGATACCACTGCATTTTTGAACAAAATGACACCAAATGCCATGGTTTTAACTGCCATCAGGGATGTTTAATTTTACAATTACTGTTCATTATCATGGGCTTAACAAAAAGATAATTATCAAAATATACTTTTTTTCTGTCATTGAGATAAATGGCTCACTAACAAATTTACATATAAATGACTAAATGAGAAGCAGGGTTGTCTCATGTTTATAGCAGGGGATTTGGAGTCAGGACCTTGAGTTGTTTTCATAGCTTGCTGTGAATTCATTGCGCCTGCAAAGTAGTAACCTTTGGGTGGCTTGTTATCCATAGGAAGAATTGCAATTACACAACAAGGTAGTTTAGATGCATAATTTGTGTTTTAGAAAGCACTTGACAGGCCTGGAATAATTGCTAAAAGCATCACTTGATCATCAATATAATAAAGAATTCAAAACTCAGAATGAATACACACACACACACACACTGTGTGTATATAAGAAATGGCATCGTATTTGTGGATTTCTGTAACAATGATGTGTTAGGTGTAGCCATGCAGATGTCTGTCTCCCAACATCACTGCTCAGGATAGCCAGAGGTGAAGGAATGGTTAGAGTCATTCCCGTTAAAAATCTAGAAGATCACTCTTTGCCCATCCCTGTCCTTGGAAAAAAGATTGGCTATGGATGACTTATACTGTAGATCTCCTTACTTTGTTTCTGTAGTATTTTTCATTGAGATTAATATAATGTGATTTAAAATGATTTCTTCATTCATATTTCCCTAACATTCTGCTTGTCATTGTGTTAAAGTGAATACATTGCACAGCTCTAACTCCGCTTCATGCTAATAGTCATTTACACAGGTAAAGTGTGCTTTGTAAATCTGCACTGTTGAAATTGTCTTCAAGATCTCTACTGTTA